AAAAAAAAAAAAAAAAAATGAGCCTGAAGAGATTTTCTTTTCTCCACTGGATTATCTGGTGCCCTTTGTAAAAAATCAGTTAGCTATAGGTTTTGGAGCTTATTTCTGGGGTTCTATCCTGTTCCATTGGTCTACATGCCTGTTTTGATGCCAGTACCATGCTCTTTTGATTATCACAGCTTTGTATTGTATGACGGGCTCAGGGAATGAGATACCCCCTACTCCACTCTACTCGCATAGTATTGCTTTGGCAATACAGGGTCTTTTATGATTCCAGACAAATTCTATGATTATTTTTTTCTAAAAATGAGAAAAATATTCTGGTAATTTGATTGGGATTACATTAAATATGTAGATAAATTTGGATAAAAATGACATTTTGATTATATTAATTCTTCTAATCCAGGAACATGGAATGTCTCTCCACTATTTTGTGTCACTTTCCATTGTTTTGTTTGGTTTTCATGGTTTTGCTTGTAGAGCACAGGCAATAATCCCCAAAATAGACAACTGAGATTATATCATGTTAAAAAGTTTCTGTATAGCAAAAGAAACAATCATTGGAGTGAATAGACAACCCACTGAATGGAAGAAACTATTTGCAAAATAGGCCACAGTTTAGGGACTGATAACCAGAATATATGAGGAACTCAAGCAGCTTCCCATACGTTCCCCCCCTCCCAAAAAAAAAAAAGGAAAAAAAAATCAACCCAATTATAAGATGGGGAAATATAAGAAAAAAACAACTCTCTAGGGACCAGCAGTTAGCATTATGGCTATGTCGCTGGACTCCCATGTAGTCGACCATGGTTCAAGTCCTGGACCCAGTGGCTTAATCTCACGCCGGGCACGTGTGCGTGCGTGCCCAAGATCCCGAGAGGAGAATGGAGGAGAAGGGATTTGGCATGGTCATCCGCCCTGGGGGGTGATTTCTCACTTTCTACCACTCTGTCTGGCGAGCACACACACCCTATAGCAAAAAAGGTCTCAAAAAAAAAGAAAAAGAAAGAAAAGAAAAAAACAACTCCCTAAAGAAGACATACAACAGTCAAAAAGATTATGAAAAAATGCTCAACCTCCCTTATCATAATGGAGATTCAAATCAAAACCATATAACTCCAACCAGAATGGCTAAGATTAAAAAAATAAACAATGGTAAGTGCTGGCCAAGGTTGTGGTGAAAAAGGAATTCTCCTATACTGTCGGTGGGAATGTAAATTAGTAAAGAGACTGTGGAAAACAATATGGAGGTTCCTCAAAGACCTACAAATAGAGCTACCATATGATTCAGAAATTCCACTCCTAAGTATCTACCCAAAGGATAGGGATATGCTCAGTTGGAAATACACATGCATATCCATGTTTATTGAGACATGTTCCACATCTCACAATCGTAAGACATGGAACCAACCCAAATGTGCACAGATGAATGGACTGAAAAAGTATGGCACATATACACTACAGAATACTACTCAGCCCTAAAAAACAATGAGATGCTGACATTTGATAGAAAGTGGGTGAAGGTGGGACCAACGGATGGCGTAATGGTTATGTTGTTGAATTCCCATGTAGTCAACTACTGTTTGAGTTGCAGACCTGGTGGTTTAAAACTCATGATCAGCAGATGAGCATGTGTGTCCAAAATCCCAAGAGAAGAAGGGATTGAGGCATGGCCATTCCCCCTGGAGGGTGATTGCTCACTTTCTGTCTTTCTGTCTCTCTGCTGACCACATGTGCCCTATAGCAAAAATCTCTTAAAAAAGAAAAAAAAAAAGTGGATGAACATGGAGATTTACTGCTAAGCAAAGCAAGCTAGACTATGAAAGAGAGGCATTATATGTCCCCACTCAATATATACTGAATGTCTGCACTCTGGCAGAAACTGGAAGATTGGAAGGTATGGAGAGCAACTGCAGATACTAGAGACAGTGTGGGAGGATGGAGGAAAATGGGGGGCGGGTTAGAGGAATACAATCAAGGTGAAAAAGAAGGAAGCAAGATATCTAAGGGACACAAAGATGGAAAATAATCTGTTGACAATAATTTGTGTGTTAATATCTTTGACTGGACTAATATACAGTGTATACATGATGGAAAAATTCATTTGGTACGCTGCAATGATATACAGTGATCGAATGTAAAAAACAAGAATAAGGAAAGAATGAGCCTGAAAAACACTGCTTCTAATGTCATGCTTGTTGGGGTAGCTGAGCTGTAGATAATCCTATTCACACAGCCAAAACTTGTACTTAGGGCCCACTACAGTTCTGCGTGTTTTGGGTACAGACTCTGGGAGAGCTTGCTGACTTTAGTCATCCTATGTCTCTACTATTCAGTTGAAATGCTACAGAATTCAGGCTGCTTGCCCTACAGGGACAATGTTGGAAGGATTTTAACTCAGAGAGAGCCATAGCCTTGCTATTCATCAAGTTCTTATAACTGATGAAATTGAGCCACAATTGAAGGCAGAGTAGTCTGATCCCATGAAGGGCAGAGGCAAAGCCAGTGCTGCCTAATGGGAGTGTGTTGTTCACCAGTGAATCAGGCACAGTGCCAAGTGGGGTAGCAGTACTTACACAAGGTAGGACAGGCAGGTCAAACACGGAAATCTGCTTTAAGTATAATCCCCAGGAATTCCCACAAAACCCCTCTCCTAGCTAACTGAGGAGAGTTTTGAATAATGGATTGTCCAAATGCCTATTTTGGTACACATTAGGGAATCAGGTAATACTATGAATGAGGCCCTGGCCTATTGAAATAAGCCATTAGCTCACCCTATCTAGCGGTAACTTATCACCACTCCTGTTGGATATTACTCAATATCTCAGACCCTAGGAAACCCTTACTGTAGTAATTTGTAGGAGGGAACTCTATGCTTGGGTCCATAGTTTCTCAATGTTCTGGAGCTACTTCTTACTAGAAATCTAGGGCCCAACTAACTCTAGAAGCACTCCTGTTCCACAACTCAGCTCCAAGGGACATGGCAAGTTAACTACAAATCACAAGATTTCTGCTTCCCTGTCCTGTCCTTCCTTTTTTCATTTCTTCTTCAATGTCAGTCAAACATACTGCCTATGGGAGTTATGTTTTTAGATACAGGAGAGAAAGAGTGCAGCTGCCCAAAAGGTCTGTTGCCTTGGATCTGCCTTCCTGCTAAATGGTCAGGTTGAGTGTCTGTGAAAAGGGTAAAGGGAAAAAAATGAAAACAAACAAAAAAAAGTTGTTTTGAAACAAAAATGAAAATTTTGAAATCTTCCACTGCCCACAGGGAGCCTGGGTATTTTTGTGAATGGAAAGAACAGAGCTCAGGCCCTGTCTGCTCCATAGAGCCTGTAGTACATCTAACACAAGATGCACTTTCCCTAGCTGTACCCTTGGTCCAAATCTCTTTCCTCATAAGCCAGTTCAAGGAAACTTCATTTTCCTTCCTTTCTTCCTTCCTTCCTTCCTTTTCTTCAAGAGAGATATTTTGCTATAGGATGCATGAGCTTGCTGGAGAGACAGAGAAACAGAAAATGAGAAATCACCACCCCCCAGGGGGAATGGCCATGCCACACTCCCTTCTTGTCCACTCTCCTAGGATTTTGGGAATGTCCGCACATGTGCCTGGCTTGAGTTTTAAGCTGCCGGGTCCAAGGCTCAAACCACAGTCAACCACATGGGAGTCCAGTGACATAACCATTATGCCATTTGCTAGTCCCAGAAACTTCATTTTCTAGGTATCAACATCCCCAAATTGTCCCCAGCAGCCAGCACAATAAGGCTTTTTCTGTTCGGGCACTTGGTGAATCCTTTCTACCTGTACAGTGCCTGGCCACCACTTCATAGGAAGCATGTGATTCTTCTTGATCTCTAGGAGCTTGCAACTAACTGTACATTTAGAAGGCATTTGCTTCATTCTCCAGAACTTCCGGTCAATGAGAACCTAGATAATTTGGTTTTCCATCTCTAGTCGCAGCAGTAACTCTTCAAAAGCCTAGAGCTGAATTTTCTGGACCACATCCTCCTCAGCAAGGCTACCCACATGACATCACACAGTACCACACAGTATCCCACAGAATGGGGGCATTTGGGAGTAGCAAAGCCCACATCATCGCAGACATGCCAGGTAAATGATATGAGACCCATCCACAGACTCCTAAAGTCACAACATTCTGCAGAGTGAGATACTAATCTGGAGTCGAATCAAGTCTATCATGAATGTGGAATAAAATTTCTGTGGAGAAATTTGAAATCTGTATTCCTGATGAGCTTCTAAAGCGTGTTTCTAACTTTTCAATTTCGTAGCAACAGTTGTTGTTTGAAATATGTGCTTATCACAGCACTCAATAAAGTCTGACAAATAAGTATGTTTAAAAATTGGTCAAATATTGAATGACAGCTTGTTAAACCAAGGTAAAGGACGAAATGCTGATATTAAAATGAGGTTTAAAGGTGAGAATGAGAAGTTTTTGTAAAGTTAAGGTGGAAAAAAAGAGAACCCTCCAGGGATGATGCTGGTAGAAAAAAAAAATTATGTAAAATCAATTACTTAGGAGCCTGTGGTCTTCCGGGAGAAAGTAAAAGTTATACTAAATCCATATCATTTTGACATCATGCTAAATAGTTTTCATTTCCTAGTTGGGTTTCAGATACATACCCAAGAAGACAACTCATCTGTTCTAAACAGAGGTTTGGAATGAATATTTTCATCTTCTCCAATGAATCGAATCAGTTTTTCCTCCTCTGTAGATGTTGATGGTTTCTGGAGGACAGAAACAAGGATCTGTTAGTGAACTAGCGTGTGACACAGTGCTACATCAAGTTACCTGGAACCATGTTAGACACTTTAGTTTTCCACTTGTTTTCATCATTCAACAAGCATTTCTGAACTGCTACACAACAAACATTGAGAAATTGGTGGGGATGGGAGTGGTAGGCACAAAGAAAGGTAACTACGGGAAAAGCAAAGAGAATTTCTTTCAGACTTCAGGAATTCATAGTACAATAGAAAAGACAGATAATGAAGTAAATGTTACATGATTACTGTTAGGACAAAGATGTGTTCCAAAGGCTGTATGCACCAAGAAATGGTCCCTGCATTCTGCATGGATGCTCTAGGAAGCGCTTACAGAGCAAATGGTATTTGAAGACTGAATATGTAAATCCAGGTTTTTTTGTTGTTGTTGCCTTTTTGTCATTGTTGTTTTGAGAGATTTTTGCTATAGGGCATGTGCTTTTGCTGGAGACACAGAAAAAGAGAAACAGGAAGAAGAATCACCCCCCAGGGGTGATGGCCATGCCACAATCCCTTGCCTGCCCCCCTCCCATCTCCTCTCAGGATTTTGTGTGTGCATGCACATGTGCACAGTGTGAGTTTCAGGTTGTTGGGTCCGGGACTCAAACCACAGTCAGCCATGTGAGAGTCCAGTACCTTAACCACCATGCCACCTACTAACCCAAATCCAGGGTGTTTTTTTTATATAAATTGTAAAATAGGAAAGGATCAGACCTGAAACCACAGAAGACAATGATTAATGACAACAACAATAATAATAATGGTGTTTATTTATTCATTTTTCTTTTTTTTAAAGAGAGGTGGTTTTTTTTGTTTTTGTTTTTTTGTTGTTGTTTCTTTTTTGCTATAGGATGTGTGTATGCTCAACAGAGAGACAGAGAAAGACAGAGAGAGAGAAATCAAGAAATCACCCCCCAGAGGGATGGCCACGCTGTAATCCCTTCTTCTCCATTCTCCTCTTGGGATTTTGGGCACATACGTACATGCACCCGGTGAGTTTTAAGCCACCGAGTCTGGGACTCAAACCCATGGTCAACTACGTGGGAGTCCAACAATATAAGCATTATGCCATCTGCTGGTCCTGGTTTTTATTTATTTTATATACCAATCACTTTGCCAGAATTCAAACAGAAAATGCTGGTCAAAAGAGCTTGTGGCTGACCCATAGGCTCAGCCCCTTAGGCCAGTGGTTAAAGGTGCTGGGTCATACACAGCCAATCACAACTCAAGTCCTAGCCCTGGAGGCTTGAAAAACACCAGGTGTGTGTGTATGTGTACCACAAATCCTGACAGAATAGAGATATGGAGAAGAAACTGCGGCATGACCACACTCTTCGGGGGGTGCTTTCTCCCTCTGTCTCTGTCTCTCCATCTCTCTCTAGTGAGTATACACATCCTCTGGCAATTAAAAAAGAAAAAAGAGCCTTGGGTGTGGTAAAATATATTTTTTTTTAATTTAGAGAAATCATTATTGTGTTTATTGGCACAGGAATTTATTCCTTGGGTACTGCAATGTATAGAAAAACAATTCCTGAGCTCAAAAGCAGTTTATTAAAAAGATTACCTGAAATACTTATAGGAACCTCATTTGCACTTCATTTTCTTCACTCTAAGACTGGAAAAACAGAACCATTTATGGATTCAGAACAAAAACCACATCTTGCAAGTTAACATTTCTACCTTGGAAAGTTTTGCCTGAGACTGGTACTGCAACTAAGTTACTAGCAATGTGTGTGATTTTTCTATAGGGATTATTGCTGTTTGACAACACTGATTTAAGATGCGATGATGTTAACTTAATTGGAGGCAATAGTTTTTTCTTTTCTTTTTTTTAAATTTATTTTTATTTCTATTTCTTTTATACATTCAATCACATTACTTAGCTTACAAAGTGAATATTTCAACATGTGTACATTTCTCACCAATCCAGTTCACCATTCTAGAAAGTTATCTTCAATAGATAATAATCCATTTCTTTGTCCCATAAATGCCATGCCTCTCTATTTTTTTCCCTTAATGTCCTTCCTCAGACTCTACTCCTTCACCCGCCTTCTTCCCACACTGTATCTGGTATTCATAACCATTTACTTAGTTTCTATAACCTTTAGTCATTCAGTTTCGGCCACAGAGTGTGGACACTCGGTATATATTAAGTGGATACATACAATGTCTCTCCTTCTTCACCTGGCTTGCTTCATTCAGCAGTAAATCTTCCGTATTTATCCACTTTCTGTCAAAAGCCAGGGTCTTGTTCTTTTATGGTTGAGTAGTATTCCACAGAGTATATGTGCCACAGTTCTTCAAACCAATCATCTCTTTGTAGACATTTGGGTTGCTTTCATGTCTTAGCAATTGTGAATAACACTAAAATAAACATGGATGTGCAAGCACTTTTCTGATTAAGAATTTTTCTGTCCTTTGGGTAGATACCAAGAAGGGAGATTGCTGGATCATATGGTAGTTCTATTTGTAGGTCTTTGAGGAATCTCCAAATTGTTCTCCAGAGTGGCTGGACCAATTTACATTCCCACCAGCAGTGTAAGAGAGTTCCCCTTTCACCACATCCTCTCTAGCACTTATCATTTTTTGTGTTTTTAGTCTTAGTCATTCTGACTGGCGTTAAGTGGTATCTCATTGTGGTTTTGATCTGCATTTCCCTTACAATGAAGGATGTTGAGCATTTTTACATATGTCTCTTGGCTATTCATGTCTTTCTTAGAGAGTGTTTTTTTTCAACTCATTCTCCCATCTTTTAATAGGGTTAATCATCTTTTTCGGTCAACTGCTTGAGTTCCTTGTGCATTCTGGTTATCTGTCCCTTATCTGATGCATAGTTTACAAAAATATGTTCCCATTCTGAGGGCTGTAGATTCACACTAATTATTGTGTCTTCTGCCATGCAGAAATTTCTTAATCTGATGTAATCCCACTTGTCTATTTTTGGGATTATTGACTATGCTGCAGGGGTCTTATTTAAGAAGTCTTTGCCTACTCCAATGTCTCCCAGAGGTTCCCCAGTGTTTTCCAGCAGCACATTTTCATAGTTTGCGGTCTTAGGTTTAGATCTTTGATCCACTTTGAGTTGATTTTTGTCAATGGTGAGAGGTAGGGGTTCAGATTCATCTTTCTGCAGGTGGATATCCAGTTTTTCCAGCACCATTTCCTAAAGAAGTTTTCCTTTCCCCACTGTTTTTATTTTATTTTTTTTTTTTGGAGAGATTTTCGCTATAGGGCGTGTGCGCTCGCCAGACAGATAGAGAGAGACATAGAGACAGAAAGCGATCCCTTCTCCTCCATTCTCCTCTCGGGATCTTGGGCACGCACGCACACACGCCTGGCGTGAGTTTTAAGCCACCGAGTCCAGGACGCGAACCGCGGTCGACTACGTGGGAGTCCAGCGACATAGCCATTGCGCTAACTGCTGGTTCCCTTTCCCCACTGTTTTGACTGGTACATTTTGTCAAAAATCAGTTGGCTTTATGTTTGGGAGTTTATTTCTGGGGACTCTATTCTGTTCCATTGGTCCACCTGTCTATTTCTGTGCCAGTACCATGCTGTTTTGATTACCACAGCTTTGTAGTATATTTTTGGGTCAGGGAGTGAGATGCCACCCACTCCATTCTTCTTGTGCAGGATTGCTTTGGCAATATGAGGTCTTTTATGATTCCAGACAAATTTTATGATTGCCTTTTCTAGATCTGTGAAGAATGTCTCTGGCACTTTGATTGAGATTGCATTAAATATGTAGATTAATTTGGGTAGAATTGCCATTTTGATTAGTACTTCATTGATTTTTATGCTCAAATAATATTCTATATATTCTTAAATATATATATATGACACAATATATGTCACATATATATGACACACACATATATATACACATGTATGTCATATATGTGTGTATATATACACAACACATACATTTATATGTGTATATATGACATATGTGCGTGTCTATATATACACATATATATGACATATGTGTGTCTGTATATATATATATGTCTGTATATATACAGACACACATAAATATATTGTTTGTTGAGAAATGACATTGTATATTTTTTGTCATGTACAACATAATGTTTTGAAGTACATATACATTGTGTAGTAGTTAAAACTAGCAAATTAACATAAATATTATATCACAGTTATCATTTTTGTGATAAGTCATAACTGTGATTTTTTGTATTTTTCAACAATGCCAAACTATATTGTAATTAACTATAGTCACTTCGCTGTAGGCAAGGTCCCTTAAACTCACTTCTTCTATCTAGCTGTAATTATGTATCCTTTGACCAACTTTTCCTCTTTAACCCCTTTCCCATTTAGCACCACGGTCTCTGGTAATTACTGTTCTAGTCTCTATTTCTATGACATCAACATTTTTACATTCCATATATGAGCAAGATCTTTGGAAATATCCTCTAGAGTCATCCATGTTGTTGCAAATATAGGATTTCCTTCTTTTTTATGGCTGGGAATTATTTCATTGTGTATATATATCACATTATCTTTATCCATTCATCTGTACATAGATACTTACATTGATTCTATATCTTGGTTATTAAGAAGAGTGCTGCAATGACATGGGAGTACAGATATCTCTTCAACATGCTAATTTCATATGGTAACTTAATTTTTAATTTTTAATACTGTTTTCCACAGTGGCTATAATTTTACATTCCCACTAACAGTGTGCAAGGCTCTTTTTTAACCACATCCTCACCAACTCTTTTTTTTTTTTTTTGAAAGGTTTTTCGCTATAGGGCGCGTGTGCTCGCCAGACAGAGACAGACATAGAGACAGAAAGCGAGAAATCACCCCCCCAGGGGGGATGGTCACGCCGCAATCCCTTCTCCTCCATTCTCCTCTTGGGATCTTGGGCAGGCACGCACACGCGCTCGGCGTGAGTTTTAAGCCACCAGGTCCGGGACGCAAACTGCGGTCGACTACGTGGGAGTCCAGCGACATAGCCATTACGCTAACTGCTGGTTCCCATCCTCACCAACTCTTATTTTTTTGTCTTTTTGGTAATAGTTATTCTAACCAGGGTGAAGTGATATTTCATTGTGATGTTGATTTGAAGTTCCCTAACGATTAGTGATAATTTGTGTATCTTTCTTTGAGGCAGGTTTGTTAAGATCTGTTGTCCATTTTATGACTGGATTATTTGCTTTTTTGCTATTAGCTTGAGTTTCTTATACATTTTGGATATTATTCCCTTGTCAGAGGACTAGTTTGCAAATTTTTCACCATTCTGCAGGTTGTTTTTTCCCCTCTACAGGTTATTTCAAGATTTTCGTTTGCAGTTATCCCATTTGTCAGTTTTTGCTTTTGTTGCCTGTGCTTTTGAGAGGATAGTCAAGAAAGTATTACTCAGACTACGGTCATGGAGTATTTCCTTCGGCGTGAGTTTTAAGCCACCAGGTCCGGGACGCAAACTGCGGTCGACTACGTGGGAGTCCAGCGACATAGCCATTACGCTAACTGCTGGTTCCCATCCTCACCAACTCTTATTTTTTTGTCTTTTTGGTAATAGTTATTCTAACCAGGGTGAAGTGATATTTCATTGTGATGTTGATTTGAAGTTCCCTAACGATTAGTGATAATTTGTGTATCTTTCTTTGAGGCAGGTTTGTTAAGATCTGTTGTCCATTTTATGACTGGATTATTTGCTTTTTTGCTATTAGCTTGAGTTTCTTATACATTTTGGATATTATTCCCTTGTCAGAGGACTAGTTTGCAAATTTTTCACCATTCTGCAGGTTGTTTTTTCCCCTCTACAGGTTATTTCAAGATTTTCGTTTGCAGTTATCCCATTTGTCAGTTTTTGCTTTTGTTGCCTGTGCTTTTGAGAGGATAGTCAAGAAAGTATTACTCAGACTACGGTCATGGAGTATTTCCTCTATGTTTTCATCTGGTAGTTTCATAGTTCCAGGTTTTACATTTAAGTTTTAGATACATTTAGAGGTTTGTTTGTTTGTTTTAGAACTTAAAACAGGTTTTTGTTTTTAATGATCAAGCCTTTTTTTTTTTTTTTTGAGAGGTTTTTTTTTTTCACTATAGGGCGCGTGCGCTCGCCAGACAGACAGAGAGAGACATAGAGACAGAAAGCGAGAAATCACCCCCCAGGGGGGATGGTCACGTCGCAATCCCTTCTCCTCCATTCTCCTCCCGGGATCTTGGGCACGCACGCACACGCGCCCGGCGTGAGTTTTAAGCCACCGGGTCCAGGACACGAACCGCGGTCGACTACGTGGGAGTCCAGCGACATAGCCATTACACTAACTGCTGGTTCCCATGATCAAGCCTTTTACCCAGGGTCACAGACTCATAGACAATGATAAAGCATGTTTTAATGTTAATCCCTTCCCTCTCACGACCCAGCAGAAAAGGAAATAAAGAAAGCACATTCAAAGAGAAATATAAAGGAAATAAAGAAAATGCACTCAAAGGGAGAAATGGTGCATTTTATGAGTTACTTAAACTACTTGAGTGTCTCCAAGGAAACTATGTCTATCCTTTTATAATCCCCAACTGTACTGAATTCTCAGGAATGCTCTGACAAGTGATGAAACAACTCCCTAGGTGCCCTAAAACAGTTGGCACTTCCTGTCTCTGGGAGCTGCATGGGTCCTTATAGAAGTATGTGGAAGAATGTTTGCAACCCTGCTCCTTCCTTCCTGGCTATGGGACTTAAAAAGGACCAGGCCAGATATCTTATGAGGTGAGATAATATCTTTTGTATATGGTGAGATAAGAATCTAATTTCATCATTCTCCATGTGGTTATCTAGTTTTCTTTTTTTATTGAAGAGATGTCCTTTCCATATTATGTATTCTCAGCATCCTATCAAAAATGAGTTGACTGAAAACATGTGGATTTATTTCTGGGCTCTCTATTCTGTCCCACTGGTCTATGTGTCTGTTTCTGTGCTAGCACTATGCTGTTTTAGTTACTATAGCTTTGTCATATATTTTGAAGATGGGTAATGTGTGCTTCCAGTTTTGTAATTCTTGCTCAAGATTGCCTTAGCTATTTGGAGTGTTTTGTGGTTTCATTAAATTTTAGGATTGTATTTATTTCTGTAAAGCATGCCATTGTGTATTTTGATAGGGATTACATTAACTGTGTAGATCACTTTGGGCCTTTAATAATATTTGTCTTCCCTTATGGCCAGCAGGTGGCATAATGTTTAAAGTGCTGGACTCCTACATAGTAGACAGCAGTTTGAGTCCTGGACTCAACTGTTTGAAACACACTGAACACATGTGCATGCATGCCTAAATATCCCAAGAAGAGAATGGAGAAGGGATAATGACTGGCCATCCCCCCTGGGGATTGGATTTTCCCTCTCTCCCTGTGTGTGTCTCCAGTGAGCACATGCACACTAAAGCAAAAATCTCTCCTTAAAGTTAAAATAATATCTATCTTCCCTTCTATGAACATGGGCTACCTTTCCATTAATTTATATCGTCTTCAGATTCATTCATCAGTGCTTTATAGTTTTCTTTGCAGAGATTTTTACATTCTTTTTTTTTTTCTTTTCTTTTCTTTTTTTGGAGAGGTTTTTGCTATATGGCGCATGCGCTCGCCAGACAGACAGAGAGAGACAGAGAGACAGAAAGCGAGAAATCACCCCCCGGGGGGATGGTCACGCCCCAATCCCTTCTCCTCCATTCTCCTCTCGGGATCTTGGGCACGCACACACACGCGCCCGGTGTGAGTTTTAAGCCACCAGGTCCGGGACGCGAACCATGGTCAACTACGTGGGAGTCCAGCGACATAGCCATTACGCTAACTGCTGGTTCCCAAAATTTTTACATTCTTGATTAAATTTATTTCTAGTTTTTCTGGGGGTGATTTTGGTAGCTATTTTAAATGAAATTGTTTTCTTTCTTTTTTTTTTTAATGATAGCACATGCACACATATGCATAAGGAAGAAAAAGAGAGAGTGAACCCTAGACAGGATCTCATCAAACTGTGACCCCCTTTCTCTAGCCTCCTAGCCCCTTAGGACCTTGTATGCCCACATGCATGTCCAATGTTCTCAAGCTGACCTGAGTATCCAAACTCATAGTAAGCCATATGACTTCCAGCCTTACAGGGTACTTATTGCTATGCCACAGCAGGTAGGCCTTCCCCTCCCCCAGATAGTTTATTTAGTATTAACATATAAAAAATTACTGATTTTTATAAATTGATTTTGTAATCTGCAACTTCACTGAATTTGCTTAATGGTTCTAACTGCCTTTAGAGTTCCTATATATAAGATCCACTTGTCACCAAATGAACAATTTAAGCTCCTCCCTTCCAATTTGCAAGCCTTCTATTTCTTTGTCCTGCCTAATTGCTCTTACTAAGACTCCCAGTAAGTTGTCAACCTTTCTCAGCTTCAGTTTTCTTATTTATAAAATGATGACAGTAACATATACCTTAAAGTGTGTTGTATAGGTAAGAGATAATGTGTAAAGTGTATAGTTCTTGATAGGAAAGCATTAGCAGTTATTGCATCATCATCATTATTATTGTAAGTGCCACAGGAAGCATTATTATTACTACAAATGCTCCAGCAGAGGGTAGAGACAGAATAAGAGGAAAAGAGGGAGAGAGATGGATCTGAGAGGAGGGAGAAAAGACAACTTAGAATGGAAGCTAAAGAAGTGGAAATACAGATTTTATACTATTATTTGACAAATCTGGCAATGAAAGGAGAAATTAACAGCACCAAGGTAAGAGGTAAATTGTGTAGTTAATAGAAGTACAGGTATGAAAGAAGTTTAAAAAACTGTTAGATTTAGAAAGAAAGAGGGACAAACTTTCCTCTGCAAGTGAATTTAATAAGTTAGTCTACAGATATGGTTAAATCCATATGAGAAAAGGAAGAAGTTGCATTCACTCCAGATGGCCTACTTCTGCTTTCCACTGAGTGTATGTATTCTTTTTCTTAATCAAAAGGTGCATATACTCACCAGAAAGAGTGGGGCAGGGGCGGAGGGGGCAGAGGCAGAGCACTTCCTGTGGTCATGCCACAGTTGTCTTTCCTCCATTCCTCCTTTCCATTAAAATTATTTGCTAGAAGATGTGTGCACTCACCAGAGATAAAGAGACAGAGAGGGAGAGAAAGCATGGACCCCACAATGGGGTGTGATAATGCCACAATCGCTGTCCTCTGTCTCTCCATCCTGTCAGGATTTGGGACCAACAGGCACACATGCCTGGTATGTTTTTCAAGCTGCTGGGACAAGGATTCAAATTATGTAGCTGGCCTTCAGGGAATCTGGCTTCCCTGACCACTAGGCCATGGAGCCAGCCCTATACCTATATATATTCTTTAAAAATATATGGGGAAAGGAATAAAAATAATACTAAATAATCTTACCTCTTCTACTTTTCTTTTTTCCTCTTCTACCTGAGCATTCTTATCAGTATTACTTTCTTCTTCATCCTCTTCAAAAGACTTGTCTGGTTCAGGTTCAATGAATTCTTTTATAGCTACCTGGGAAATGAGATAATATAATTATAGCTTAATGTATATAAATATTAGTATTTATTAATTCAAAAATATTAAATGAGGACTCAGAGAGTAGTGCAGAGTAAAACACGATGCTCTGAAAGGCAAACCCACATAAGAAGGTCACCTGTTCAAGTCCAGAGACCTCCCTGAGTATGGGCTAGCAGAAGGTGGGGTAAGGGGTGGCAGTGTGCAGCATCAGGGCCTTGTCAGGGGTGCTGTATGTATCTCCTTCACACCCACAAAAGAAATAAAAAGTATTAAATGAGCATTAATCCCACAACAGTTCTTAAGAATGGTCCCTGTTCTTAAGATGCTTGCAATTTCATGAACAAGAAAACACTAAGGAAGTGTACAGTCAAACAGTAGAAGCACCTAACCTAAACCAGGTAGTGGACCATGGTGCAAGAAGGGGTTGTGGGTCAGTAAGGTTTCCTGAAAGTGATAATGTCTGATTTTTCTCCTTGAAGGATGAGGAAAGAAAAGAAGAAAGCATAAAGGAATTCTTGGCAAAGAATGTTGTATGGACATGATTGGTTTTGAAAACAAAAGTAGTTCAACAGGACAGAAACTTAGAAGCAAATGAACAGGGTCACAATTATAAAGGAAGGATGAGATTTTCATGCCAGTGAGATTGGAGTCCATCAAAAGGCAATGAGGCACCAACACATTGATCTGCTTTTGATTTTAAAACAATCACCTAAGCAACAGGAGTCTTAAAGAAGAAAGGAGGGAGGAAGAAAAGAAGGGAGAAAGACAGAAAGAAAGGGGGAGAAGAAAAAGGAAGAGGGACGGAACAACACAGTGGTTGCAGAAATGAAGAGGATGAGGATTCAAGAGATAGTTAAGAGGCTGTTCTTAGTGAATGATTGGATGAACATGATATTGTTAGGAATGAGTACATTTTAAATGACTCCTTGTTTAGGGCTTAGGCCACTATAGATAATGATGCCATTTGGGGCCAGCAGATGGCGTAATTGTTATATCGCTGGACTCTCACGTAGTCAATTGTAGTTCAATTTCCAGATCCAGTGGCTTCAAACTCACGCCGGGCACATGTACATGCGAGTCCAAAGTCCCAAGAGGAGAATGGAGGAGAAGGGATTGTGGCATGGTCATCCCCCCGGTCTGGGGGGGGAGGGGTGTGTGATTTCTCACTTTCTGTCTCTTTGTCTCTCTCTCTTTGTCTCTGGTGAGTGCACGCACCCTGCAACAACAACAACAACAAAATGATAATGGGAACCAGCACTTAGTGTAATGGTCATGTTGCAGGACTTCCACATAGTCGACCGAGGTTCGTGTCCCAGACCCGGTGGCTTAAAACTCACGCCGGGCACGTGTGCATGCGTACCCAAGATCCCGAGAGGAGAATGGAGGAGAAGGGATTGCGGCGTGACCATCCCCCCGGGGGGTGATTTCTCGCTTTCTGTCTCTTTGTCTCTCTCTGTCTGTCTGGTGAGCGTACGTGCCCTATAGCAAAAAAAAAAAAAAAAAACCTTAATTGTCAGAGCTAATGTCTGATAGTTTGCTAAATATTCTTCCAGGCTTCTTTATGAATATGTAAATATTTTAAAATATGTTACATTCTATAATCCGCTTTTCTCAATAATATTGAGTCATTGGAAAAGTCATGACGTATTTTTCCAGGCAAAAATGCATCATGAGCTTTCTACCGACCCAATATGTCATGGACTACATTTACTTCACTATATATAAGCAGCTATTTCATCTGCACAGAATTCCATTGTATAAATGTATCATATTGTATTTAATCAATCTTCTATTGACCAACATTCATAATTTTCCAGTAGTTTGCTATTATATATTACATTGTAATTAACATCCTTACAAAGATACAACATATATTAGAATGGTTAAAGTGCAAAAGTACATTTAACTTATGGCAAGAAATATTCAATTAGAATTATGAGTAAAAAGAGAAAGATCATAAAAATTATCAGATTTGAAAAGGAATCAATCAGTCTTTCATTTAATTGAATTAAAACAAACAAACAAAAAAAAAAAAAACAGCAGAAGGACCAGCAGATGGCCTAATGGTTATGTCACTGGACTCCCACATGGTCGACTGCAGTTCAAGTGCCAGACCTAGAGACTTGAAACTCACACCAGGCATGTCTGTGTGCAAGCCCAAAATCCCAAGAGAAGACTGGAGGAGAAGGAACTATGGTATGGACATCCCCCTGAGAGAGTGATTTCTCACTTTCTGTCTTTCTGTCTCTCTTTCTGTGTGTCTCTTTGGCAAGTGCACACACCCTATAGCAAAAATCTCTCTTTAAAAAAAAAAGAAAAAAACAAAACAGGGGCCAGTAGGTGGCATGGTGGTTAAGGGAGCTGGATTACCACATGGCCGACCACAGTTCGAGTCCTGGACCCAGTAGCTTGCTTTCTCACTTTCTCTCTCTCTTTCTCACTTTCTCTCTCTCTCTCCCTCTCTTTGTGTGTGTGTATGTGTGTGTGTACATGTATCCCTCTCTGGTCAAATTAAAATAAATAAATAAATTTTAAAGTAGAAATGGCCAACTTAAAAAAAAAAAACAGCAGAAAGGTTTAAAAGCAGAATAAACTCAGCTGAAGAACAAATTAATAATTAATGAGTTGGAAGGGAGGTCAGAAGAAATTATCCAGGATGCAATGTAGAGAGACAGAGAGACAGAAAAAAAATAAAAGAATATTAAGACATGGGATAGATTCCAACACATACCCATTCAGAGTTTCAGAAGGAAAAAGAGAGCAAATACAGCAGAGGCAGTATTTAAGAGATGATGAGTAAAAGTTGTTCAGATCTAATAAAACAGATTAAGCCAAGGATTCTGGAAATGAAGAGAATCCCAAGAAAATTTAAAAGAAAAGAAAATCCACAACCACGTATGTCAGAGTGAAACTGCACAATGCCAAAGATAAAATGGAGATCTTTAAGCTAACTAGAGAAGAGATCTATTCACTTGGGCTGAAAACTGTATTCGCTTTTGTCAGATTGGTAACAATAAAATCTAGAAAACAGTGGGAATAATATCAATGTACTGAGTGAAAAAAGATATATCTTAGAATTAGTTGTACACATAACTAGCAAAATAAATACATTACAAGGGAAAATAAACAAAATTTTCAAATAAATAAAATTGAGTTTGCCACAGTAGATCCTCACTAATGAAAATTTTAGAGCCTAAGGAAGAAGAAAAATGACCCCAATGGAAAGACTGAGATTTCTGAAGGAATAAAAAAGTTAAATGGTATAGTGAATCTAATAACAGCATATTTCTTAAAGGTAGATCACTAAAAGCACCCCTGTTAACATCATAATTAAGGAAAATGATGTTGCTATCTCCACTACTTTTAACATTAATTTAGAAGAATTATTAAATATAACTAGAGAAGAAAAACCAATTAAATGTATCAGAATTGAAAAACACACCAGGCACATGTACATGGATGCCCCAAATCTTAAAAAGACAGAGAATAGGAGGGATTGAAGCATGGCCACACAGTCTCTGTCTCTCCTGGGTGAACACATGTGCCCTCTGGTTTATAAACAAACAGTAAACGAAAGCAGTCAACCTGGCCCAGACGTGGTGGCACAGGCAGGACGGGCACTGCTGCACAATGCTAGAGAACAATGTGTGAAGGCTCTGGGATCAAGGCCCAGTTCTATAACAATAAGCCCATGATCCTGGCTGGCTGAAGACTGGGAAGAAGATCATGTGTGCAGACTCTGTTAAGGATGCCTATTTCTCTCTCTCTCTTTCTCTTTCCCAACTTCTCTCTCTTCTCTCTCATAAAGAAAACAATTAAATAAACTTTAAAAAAAGTAGACATCCTATATCCCATATTCTTGAACAGGACAATTCAACACCATAAACATAACTATTCTAAGTGAATATATAAATTTAATATTATCTTAATTTTCAAAAATCAGATGTTTTATAGATATATAGAAGAGGGCCAGCAGGTGGCATGGTGGTTAAGGTGCTGGACACTCCCACATGGGTAACCATGGTTCAAGTCCCATAGCTGGTAACTTGCTTTTTCACTTTCTCCCCATCCCCCCCCACCCCACTCCCATGTATGTTTTATTTAAAGAAAATAATAAAGATATATAGAAGGAAAATTAAACAAGAATATCATTGAAATGCCTGTAAAAGACCAGTGAGGAGGTTACTAGATATGAAAATATATTATAAGGCCTTGATAATTAAAATATTGCAGTGGGGCCAGCAGGTGGTGTAGTGGTTGGGGCAATGGACTCCCACATGGCCAACCCTGGTTTGAGACCTGGACCGAAAATAATAAAGATATATAGAAGGAAAATTAAACAAGAATATCATTGAAATGCCTGTAAAAGACCAGTGAGGAGGTTACTAGATATGAAAATATATTATAAGGCCTTGATAATTAAAATATTGCAGTGGGGCCAGCAGGTGGTGTAGTGGTTGGGGCAATGGACTCCCACATGGCCAACCCTGGTTTGAGACCTGGACCTGGCAGCTTGCTGTCTTACTTCCCCACTTCTGCTGTCTCTCCCTGGCAGAGAGACTGTAATATGGAAGACAAATCAGCCTTGCTCTTATTAATCCAAATGACTGAATGAGGGGCCAGACAGTGGTGCAGTGGTAGAATTTCATGCCCCGTGAGGCAATCCCATGTGGGAAGTTCCCAGATCAGGTCTGTCCATGATCAAGGGCTGACTGAGGCTCGGGTTGGATCACAGCATCAAGATCCTATAGGAAGTGCTCTCTCACTTTCTCTCTCACCCACAGAAGAAATGGATAAATAAACTTTGTGAGAAAGACTGATCTAGGACCGGGGTGTAAAAAAAGCTATAAAGAGACATATTACATTTAGTACAACAGCAAGAATAGTGTTCTTAGGACCAGCAGATGGCATAGTGGTTAAGTTGCTGGACTCCCACGTAGCTAACCACAGTTTGAGTCCCAGACCCAGTGGCTTCAAACTTACGACAGGTGTGTATTCATACATGCCCAAGATCCCAAGAAGAGAATGAAGAAGAAGGGATTGTGGTGTGGCCATCCTCGGGGGGATGTTCTCACTTTCTGTCTTTCTGTCTCTCTCTGGTGAGCACACAAACCCTACAGCAAAAACCTCTCTCTAAAAAAGAATACTGTTCTAATACTCACTGCTCACTGAAAGCAAGTGGACTATCTCTACATATAGTTCTTTTTCACTTCAGATATTCAGACTTAGGCATATGATCAAGTGTGGTTGTTACATTAAGATTTATGCATGGCTGAATTCAATCACTTTTTAAAATCAATTTAATTTGTTTTTTTTTTTGTTTGTTTGTTTTTGCTATAGAGCATGTGCATTTGCTGGAGAGAGACAGAGAGGGAAAGTGAAAAAATGCCCTCCATGGGGGCCACAGTTCCTTCTTCTTCTTGGGATTTTGGACATACACATGCGTGCACGTGCCTGGCATGTCCTTTAAGCTGCCAGTTCTGGGATTTAAACCATGCAATTGGCTGGTTATGTGGGATCCAGCTGCTTTAACATACACATCATCTGCTGGCTCAAATTTAACCACTTCTAAAATCCTTTCTGTTCTCAAGTCTTTATGATTCTGGACAGTTTTCAAACTGTTTTCCCAGATCTGGTGTGCAGCAAAGATCATGTCTGCGGTATTTTACATTTCTAAATCTATACCGTAATTTTAAATTTGCTAAGGTGTATGCTCTTGCGGGGGCGGGAGGGAGAGGGGAGACAAAGTGAGAAAGGATCCCCAGGGAAGATACAAAATCATCTGCTAAATAAGTGAGGAAAGATGCCTAGGTGGATGACTTCTCCTCTGAAGGAAAACAAGTTACCAGTGCTCTTTTTGAGAATCAAAACTATCCTCTGACAGAGTTAATGAATGCAGATTCAGAATAATGATTAGAAAAGATGTTGAATCTTATCCATCAAATACAGGAAGAAACTGAATAATGACCAATGCTAACACGTGGTAAATACCTCTTCTCCAAGTAGTTGCTCTGCTTCTTCATATGTCAATAACTTAATTTTTGTACCTTTCATGTCAGAAAGGAGATAAGAGCATGTGCGGATCCACTCATAACATTCCTTCTGTGGAAATATAATAGAAAATTACTAAGTAGAGGAAAAAATCAGGTTACACCAACTTATTCATTCACTCACTCCTATTAAAGAGCTACTCAGTACAGTTCTTCCAAATAAAACTCCATTCAATCAACTTTTTATCAGTTCAATTCAAAGATTCCTTCAGAGGAGACTTAGTGTGAACATAAACTTAAATTGTGCTACCGTTTAGTGACAGGGTTTGGGGTAGGAGTTGTAATATGACAAATAGCAATGAAATGTCCTAACACCAGGTGCAAAAAGATTGTTGGGTTTACTAATGCCTAAATGGTCTGTCCTAACAAATTTTATACAAGTGACCAGGTCAACTGTGGTTGCACAGTATTAATAATAGAAATAGCACACACTTGCATCGTACTTAATTATATGCCAGGCTGTTCTAAGCATTGCGCCCATTAACTCATCTGATCCTCAATCTGGGACTCAGTCACCTTTATCATTCCTTCTGTTCTCAAGTCTTTATGATTCTTTATAGTTCTTTGTTTTTCTCAGCTCTTTCTGCAGTCAAGATCGTATATTGGGTACTTACATGATTAGTATCCTCATATTTTTCCTGAGATGAGGAAAGTGAGGCATAGAACAGTTAAATATCTTATTAAAGGTTGTATGCGAGTATGTATTGGATGTCGGAAAAGTCATGATGTATTATTTTTTTCTGTTTTTCTATGCAAAAATGCACTGTGACTTTTCTGACAACCCAACAGTTAAACATGATGTTTCGATTCTAGTCAAGGTGGTCTGTGCTCTTAACCGCTACTCCACCTGCCCCCAGTAAAGTTTTGGAGAGGTATTCCCCCTCATTTATTGAGGTACAGGGGAGGTCTATAGAAGGCCTCATCTATCCAAAGTAAATAGTAAAACTATATTGGGACCAGCAGATGGTATAATAGTTATGTCACTAGACTCCCATGTAGTCAACTGCAATTTGAATCTTGAACTCGGCAGCTTAAAACTCATGCCAGGCACGTGCGTGTATGTGTGCCCAAAATCCCAAGAAGAGAACAAAGGAAAAGGAATTGTGACATGGCCATCTCCCCAAAAGGTGATTTCACTTTCTGTCTCTCTGTCTCACTCTCTTTCTGGCAAGCATACACGTCCCATAGCAAAAATCTCTCTCAAAAAAAAAAAAATAGTAAAAACTCTATTTACTTTACTAAGATCTGGTTTCAAGGTTTAAAAGATACATTAGTCCTCATGAGTGAATGAAAGCATTGAGAACTACAAAACATCTTTGGGAGGGAGGATCTGGTCATTCTAACTATCAGAAAACACATTTTTTTCATATAGTGAAATAAGGACTCACTTTTGGCTCCTGAAGTTAACCATAAAGAAGCAATAAATCTTATATTTGTCTCATGATGAGACTTATTATTAATTGTAGAATTATTATGAAATATCAATATAAAAATATTTTAGAAATAAAGCCAAATCCTTATGTTTTAGATAAGGAAACTATAGGCAGTTGAATCCCACATGACTGACTTTGTTGTTCAAGTCCTGAACCCAGCAGCTTGACATGCTGGGCACATGTGCATGCATGCATGCCCAAAATCCCAAGAGAAGAATGAAGGAGAAGGGACTGCAGTATGGCCATACACATGAGGGGTGATTTCTCACTTTCTCCCTCCCCCCGCTCACTCCTTACTGAGTACACGTGCCCTACAGCAAAAACTGTAAAAGAAAAAAGAAGAAGAAGAAGAAGAAGAAGAAGAAGAAGAAGAAGAAGAAGAAGAAGAAGAAGAAGAAGAAGAAGAAGAAGAAGAAGAATCCAGTATCCCCAGACATTATCCTCAGATCCTCCCAGGAGTGAAGACAGCTGAATGTTCTCGAGTTACTTGCAGGAACACCATGAGAGGCGGGTTCCTTAGTACCACTCTTCAAAGTTATATCCCTTTTGGAGGAACAAATCCTGAAACAGGCAGTGGTATTTTAGTGACAGGCTACTGCAGCGAAGGTAGATGGCATGGTTTTGATAGATTACACAGGGCAGAGACAGGAATGAATGACACAGAGGGTGTTAGCTGCAGACAGATTATAATCTGCCAAAGTGTCAGTGACTAATTCTAGGTGCCTGGAATAGCAGAGATGGCCAATTTAATAAGTATACTTGAAAAAAGACATCTACCTAGATTACTAGGGTTAACCTAATACATTTGAAAAAATGTACCTATCTAAATTAATTTTCAGTTGTTCAGCAGCTGCTCTGGGCTGCAGTAGCTCAGCTTCCTGAGGTTAGATTGGATCAAGATATGACAGGATCAGGTGAGAGGTAAGGAGGGTCATTAGATACTAGACTGGCTTAGTGGCTTCAGGGAGCTAGATAACCCCCACCTCTTCTTGAAGAAGCAGTTTATCTAAGTTGTTAAGCTAGAAAAGTAGAATAAGAGTGATCAAACTCCAAAAGATGCTTACTTGTGAGGCCTCCCACTTCACAACCTTGTCCAGCATCATACAAATTGCCTTTGCTGTAAAGTAACCCAAGAGACATTAGATAGTAGGAAACAATAATTTATATCATCCAAATATCAGTCTAGTAAGACTGCAAGATGTTCCTCAAGTGCTAGAACGTGGCTGGGATGGCACATGCTGTACAGCATAAGCTTATATCTACATTGGACAAGGCTTTCTGAATAACCATCTTCTAGTCTTCACTTTATGGGATATGAATGAGGCCATAAGAATCTCTGAGTCTGATGTCATAAAGGTCCATGTAGTAGAGAGATTGTTTAGGAGATCAGGAGATGATGGCTGTCAAGGATGAGGATGAATCTGAAATTAAGATAACCCTAATGAAGGCTGAACTAACTATTTTTTAATAGAGTACTGAAGCACTCAACAGAGTAGCAGAGTGCTGAGCCCCTACCACAAACTAGTTTGATATACTCTTTAAAGGTCTCAGCCTCAGGCTTAGACAGGGAGACATAAGCATTTGGTCAGGAAAAAAGGCTCAAACATGGGATAAGTTAGTCTTATTTCAGGTGTGAGAGCAGACTGTCGGCCTCCCCTGCTAACACTTCCCCAGTTTACTTATGTGAAATCACTAGTGACGGGTCACTAAGTGGAAGAGAGCATTCCAGAGGACCTAAGTAGCAGTGGTAGAAAATGTAAGTCCTCAAAGAGATGGCCATAGGCCTCCAGTCAGGGCCCAGTTAGAAGAGGCAGTAAGTGGCCCACAGCACAGGTTTTCACAACACACATATCCCAATATGGCTGTGTTTATACAGGTCCCTAGACACCTTAGGAAGGCCCCTCCCAATATTGCTATGGTCTTAACTTTAATAGCAAGTATCCTTCAGAGTCTTGAAATCCTTATTCTAAAATGGTCTCACCACACAAAGCTCCATCCCCTTCTATGGAAATGAGGATTGAAAGTATTATGGAGTTGTCTCCCCAATCATCTGTTGCCAGGCCAGCCTGCCATAGTTAGGACTCTCACCACCTGTGGGGTGGGCTGGTTGCGGCAGACCAGACGGGCACATTTGTGGATGTACAGTAAGGGCTGCAAGCTCCAAGAAACAGCTCAGTTCAAAGGCACATCAGCCTAACGAATACCTCTAAAGGCTTCTAGAACCAGTAGACAAACTGAGATATTCTATTCAACTTCTAGATGAAAAGGGAAACATACCTATAGTAACAACATTTTCAAATGGTAAAACAGTCTGTTTTTGTTTTAATGGCCAGAATGTGTGTGTGTGCTCACCAGAGAGAGACAGAGAGAGGCAGAGAGAGAAAGCACTCTTCCCATGGGATGAGTCATGCCATAAACTCTCTTCTTCAATTTCTCTAATCTGTCAAGACTTGGGGTATGCACATACACATGTCTAGCATATTTTTCAAGCCATGGGCAGGGATCCAAATCATAGCTGACAATGTGGTATCTGGCTCCCTTAACCAGTAGGCCACAGGGCTGGCCTAAATAGTAACATATTCTTACTCCTCTGACATGTATCCCTACTTTAATTGTTCATGGTGTTTTATTTTTAAAATGTTCTACTGAATGAAATTTGCTGTTTTAAATTTAAATTTAGCATTTATCCTTATAAGTTTCATTCTCTTATACTTACTGGAATTTTTAAAAGAACTTGGCTAGCTATATGAAATAAGCTGGAAAATTTTGAAATCACTATCTGTGCCCTTAACTGTATATATAGTGTGGGATTATCTGCTCTTTCAAAGTATGAAAACACTTGTCTGTGGAGTCCAGGTAGAATTTATACTTTCTTTTTTTTAAACTAATAATCTATTTCTTACTTGGAAATTGGCCAATTTTCTCTTCCAAGAGTTAATGTAACTTACTTATATTTTCCTAGAAAAGTCCCTATCTCCTAGAGATTTTTAAAATTATCAGTAAGGAGTCATATAGGGACTGGGAAGTGGCAGAGCAGTAACACAACTGTTAGGAAAGGTCCTAGGATTGCATTCTGAGACCTCCAAGAACACACCAGGCACACACACGCATATCCATGATGCAGGTCAGCGGAGACTAGAGTGAATCATAGCATGAAGATCCTGTCAGATGTGTTTGTGGGTGTGTGTGCTTCTCTCTCTTTCTAGCTCTCTCTGTCTCTCTCTCTCATGAGAAGAAATAATCAAAAAAGATGTTATATATATAATTTTTTTAACATACTATTTAAAAACTGTGAGATCTGTCATACAGATAGATGATCATAGAGTATGTACAGTTTAATGAGAACACCTATTTAAATAAAGAACAGAAAATTGCCATGATTCGAACTGGCTGAGGGTGGGCGTGGGTCACAGCAGGAACTCTTATCTCTCCATCTCTTTCCACCTATCTCTCTCATGGAAAAAATAAATACATAAACTTTAAGAAACACAGTTAAGAGAAGGAAAGACAAATATTTTTTATAGTCTAGGCAGACTATAATTTTTTTAATCATCTAATGAAAGACTTGGTATCCAGAAAATATGAAGACCTCTCAAAACTCAATAATGGTAATGATTGGGGAAAACATAGAAAAGATATTGAATGTTGAAGTGGGGAGATTAATGTCTTTGTATTGACTGACGTGCATGGCATTCCCTTTTGAAAAAGCAATGTAATACACTGTAAAGTTATATGTAATCCAATGTAATATAAAGAAGATTATGATGATAATAAAAAATAAATTTAAAAAAAACTCAATAATGGGAAAACAAACCAATAATAAATGGGCCGAAGATTTGAACAGATATCTCAACAAAGAAGGTATGAGAAATCAGCACGTGAAAAGAGTCTCAATATCATTGGTCCCACTAAGGAAATGCATCTTAAGATTACAATGACATATTACTACCTACTTATGAAAATACCTAAAATTGGGATCAGCAGATGACATGATAGTTACTAGACTCCCACATAGTTGACTGCTCTTTGAGTACTGGACCTGTGGCTTAAAACTCAAGCCAGACACGTGTGTGTGTGCCCAAAATCTCAAGAGGAGAAAGGAAGAGAAGAGACTGTGGTGTGGCCATCCTCCCGGAGGGTGAGTTCTGGCTTTCTGTCTCTCTGGCAAGCACATGTACCCTATAGCAAAAATCTCTCTCTAAAAAAAAAAAAAAAAAGAATACCTAAAATTAAAAAGACTAACCATATCAAGTCTTGGCAAGGGTGTGAAGCCACTGAAACTGTCATACACTGCTGACAAAAGTGTAAAAATGGCTTAACCTCTTTAGAAGACAGTTTGACGGTTGGTTTTATAATTAGACATGTACACACTATAAGACTAAGCCATTCTATTCCTACGTATTTACCCAAGAGAAATGAGTATATATACACTCAAACATTTGTACATTGATATGCCTTGAAGCTATGCTTGTAACCCACAACTGGAAATAATTCAAATGCCATCAACAAAGAATGGATGAATTGAGTATTTCCATATAATAAAATACTAATCAGCACAAAAAGAGCATGAACTTTTGCTAAAAGCAACAATATGGTGAATGTCAAAATAATTATGCTTAGTCAAAGAAATCAGACAAAAAGCAGTACATTCTGTATGATTCCATTTATATAAATTTTTAAAAAGAAAAACATCTTTTGTGTTAGAAGGTGGAACAGACACTGCCTGGGGACAGGACGAGGCTGGAAGGAGAGATTACAAAGGGGTAAAAGAGAACTTTGTGTGTGTTAGATATGTTCCTATTTTTCCTGTAGTGATTATTTTTATGGATAATATGCATATTTTATGACTCATAAACTATATAACTTAAAAATGTATAGTTTGTTGTAAATCAATTAAACATGTAAAAAATCTGCTGAAAATAAATAAAACTTAACAAAGGGGAATGCAGAGTCATTACCTTCATCTTCTCTAGCTCATGAAGTTCCTCAGCAGGATGTTTCTGTAAGTGACCTGCCTTATTCAGAGCCTTTGCTGTTACTATCCCTTTGCAACAACTGGAAAAAGAAAAGGCACAAACGTAGCATGACCTATTTATAACGGGTTCCTCTAAGTGTAAAAAAGCTCTCTTCTAAAATCCAGAGACAGAGTAGTTTACCACAGTAATTCAGCTACTGAATCACCCAGGAGAATAATGTGTCTTTCTCAATCTCTTACTCTTGTTTTCTCTTCCTCCCCTTCATTCCTCTCACTTTTCTTGATCATAGATAACACTGAATTGAAATTAAGGGAAAAACTGGCTAGAGTAAGAGCCACCTCCTAAATGTAAAATAACCACAGTGATGGTTTGCATCTTAGTTAATAGATTATGATTTTCAGAACTCATCTTTATTCAGTGGGAATCTTCTAGTTTTTCAAATATAAGGGTTTTTTTGTTGTTGTTGTTTTGTTTCGAAGAGATGTTTTAGTTGACATTTAGTGGAACACTTAAAAATATACATTTAGCTTTGCAAGGATTGCACAGGAAACTACCAGCTTCTTCTTAAATGTCCCACCTCTCCCTGGTCTAATCTGAGCAAAAGTACAAGCTGGGCCCAGCCATGGTGGCATGCTCTGCTAAGACACTGCTCATCAGGCTGGGACCACATAGGAGGCCAAGGTTAAACTCGCAGCCCAACCTAAAGGCCAGCCATGGTGATATGATCTGTAATCCAGCAGCTCAGGAGCCTGAGGCAAGAAGATCATAAGCTTGAGTCTGGCCTAGGTAACATAACAAGGCCCTGTCTTAAAAAGAGCCAGGTGTGGTGGTACGTGCTTGTGGTCCTAACTGGGAGGCTGAGGTGGGAGGACTGTGACCTGGCAAGATCTTGTCTTTTTTAAAACATGCAGGTGCCAACCCATACCCTAGTGGTTAAGGGAGCCTGATCCAACATGACTGTATTTGAGTCCTGGAAAAGCATGCTGGGCACATGTGCATGCATTCCCCAAATCCCAACAGGATGGAGAAATAAGGGAGAAGGGACTGTGGCATGACAACACCCCATTGAAGGGTGCTTTCTCTCTTCTCCCTCTATCGCCCTCTCTCTGGTAAATACATGTGCCCCCTGGCAATTAATAAAAAAAAAAAAAGTGGCAGGATGTATCTTATTTATGCAAGTTAGCGGGTGTTTTGATTTAATTTACTCATTCTTAGTCCCACAAATACATACTCCCCATCCTACCTATGCTACATTGTTTGCAAAAGAATTCTAAAGCCATAGGGAAAACACCAAAATCTCATATTCCAACTGAGCCGTGTTGAAGCTAGTTGGAAAACTGAACTAGCATTTCTTTCAAGTTTTAAAATAAACTTATAGCTAGTGTTTCATTGCCCTTCTCTTCTCTGTCACTTTAATCCTCCAACGGGTGGCAATAAAATAGTTTTACCTGCTCAAATAGGTGGAGTATTGGGACAGCTTTCTTGCCAGTGCAATTGCATCTAGCTCTAATTGTGCAACTCTTAGCTCTTTCTTTTCAGCACTTTCCTCTTCCAAAGTTAGGAAAGTGTCTTGGTCAGGAAAGTCAGGTATCATTATAATCAGCAAATTTACCATCCACTGGATCATAGATATATGCAATTCATCCATCTGTTAAAAAATTATTATAATACAAATGACCTATTTAAAATTAACAGGGAAAACTGTATCAAATTTACAAATAGAAATAATTAGACCTATGTCCAACTTTTTATAAATTGTTTCTTTTTAAAAATTATTTATTTATTTAATTTTGTTATTATTATTTATTTTTTAATTTGACCAAGGAGACACAGAGAGAGAGATAGAGAAGGGGCAAGTGAGAAAACAAGCCACCAGGTCCAGGGCTGGAACCACAGTCGGCCACTGGGAGTCCAGCACCTTCACCACCACACCACCCACCAGCCCCTATGTCCAACTTTTTAACAATTACCATTCTTACTGAAATTAGATAATCACTACTGAGCTAGTATGCCCTTATTTTTTTTATACACTGTACTAACAAAACTACACTCTTCTTTAGCTTGGTCAAGGTTATTAACTCATTAAAACTGACATTTCCACATGCAAGAAGGCATTTTAAGACTGCAGCTTACACAGGAAACCATGGATTTTAAGAAAGAACAGTTATATGTGACCTCTGTTAGACATAGCATGAACTTAACATAGTTCACAATGTCAACATTTGATAGATTATGTCACTTTTGATTACACTGTAGCTTTTCCAACTAAGTTTGATTGGTAGTTGTGTGATAAAGACAAGTATGATGTGAAAATGAATGTGGAATGGGAAATTCTTTTGGCAAGGTATACTCTGCTTCCAAAGTTAGATGAGCTGTAATTAAATACATATACCATCAGTAATTTTTTTTTTGGAGAGGTTTTTGCTATATGGTGTGTGTGCTAGCCAGAGAGACAGAAAGCAAGAAATCACCCCTTAGGGAGGATGGCCATGCCACAATCCCTTCTTCTCCATTCTCCTTTCGGGATCTTGGGTGCACATGCACTTACGCCCCGTGTGAATTTAAGCCACCGGGTCCAGGACTTGAACTGCGGTCGACTACATGGGAGTTCAGCAACATAGCCATTACGCTAACTGCTGGTCCCCATCAATAATTTTTATTTAATGAGACTAAAATAAAGGATTTTTTTCTTTCACTGTATGTGTATTACTTTTCCAAACAATTATTAGATTGTTAGGACATTAAATATTTAGGAATTCACCAGAGAAAGTAGGTAAGGCATTTGAAGAGTATGGTGTGTGTGATATTTGCATTTCATAAAAGTTTTCTTTTTGGGACCAGCAGTTAGCATAATGGCTATGTTGCTGGACTCCCACATAGTCGATCGTGTTTCGAGTCCTGGACCCGGTGGCTTAAACTCACACAGGGCACGTGTGTGTGCGTGCCCAAGATCCTGAGAAGAGAATGGAGGAGAAGAGATTTCAGTACGGCCATCCCCCCTGGGGGGTGATTTCTCGCTTTCTGTCTCTCTGTCTCTCTCTGTCTGTCTGGCACACCCCAAAAAAAAAAAAAAAAAAAAAAAAAAAAAAAAAATCCTCTCCAAAAATAAAAAGTTTTCTTTTTAAAGTTTATTTAATTCTTCCATGAGTGACAGAAACAGAGAAAGAATAAAAAAGAACATACCTACTTAAAAAACTGTAAGTATTTCTTTTGGCTTAGGAATGAGTATACTGAAATTCAAAGAGCACTGTGGAGAGAGGAGTTTGAGAACACTTGCATTACAGTGTTAGCTCAGACTGGGTCCCAGAAATGAAATTTTTGAGGAACCAGACAGTGGTGCAGCAGTAACACAATGCTCTGCAAGGCTGAACCACGTGGGAAAGTTCCAGGTTCATGTCCAGAGACTGTGCTCAACACAGCAGGCACACACAGGTCCATGATCCGCGGCTAGCTGAAGCTAGGGCTGGATCAAGGAGTGAAGAGCTGTTGGGAGTACCTGTCTCTGTTTTTCTCTCTCTCTGTCTTTGTCACTCATGGAATCTGCACTAATCTTTCATTGATTTGTGAGTGATGCTTTGTTCTTACTGTATGTAACCTGAGCCTATGCTCATAATGGCCCAGTCTCTGCCCAGCTACCAGGACAGCATCCTCTCCTAGGTAATCCAACTCATGTCTTCCCCTGCTGGACCTTGGGTGTATTCTTTTGTAATCAGTAAACATTATAGGCAAGCCCTCTCAGATTTGGGGCTCCTCCAAGACAACCATAAAGAAAAATGAATGGTGGGTTAAAAAAAAAAGGACAAACTTCAGTTTTTAAATACTTGTACTAGTTAATGTGGATAAGCACAGTCTTCAAAGAGTTTATAATCTTGCAGGTTTTCTGCACAGATTATTTATATTATCACAAAATGGTGGGGAGGTTTTGTTTATATGTTTACCTTTTATTATGTCAGAGGCACATTCACAAGAGAGAGAGAGAAAGAGAGAAACTCCAGTACAGTCTGATAACACCACAATCCTCCCTAAAATTATCCATCTTGTCAGGATCCTGGGCACATGCATGTCCCGGTGTGTAAGTGGCTGGGGTCAGACTCTAATCCCGGTCAGCCATGTGGAATCCAGCTTCCTCTGCACAGAGCATAACAACTGTGCTATGAAAGCCAGTCTAATGTTGTGGTACAATAGAGATATAAAAGAGGCATACAGGGACCAGCAGTTAGCGTAATGGCTGTCTCTGGACTCCCGTGTAGTCGACCGTGGTTCAAGTCTCAGACCTGGTGGCTTAAAACTCATGCCAGGCACGTGTGCGTGTGTGCCCAAGATCCTGAGAGGAGAATGGAAGAGAAGGGATTGCGGCGTGGCCATGCCCCCTGGGGGGTGATTTCTCGCTTTCTGTCTCTCTGTCTGTCACTGCCTCTCTGGCAAGCGTATGCACCCTATAACAAAAACCTCTCAAAAAAAAAAAAAAAAAAAACCAGAAAAAGAGGCATACAAAGGCATCTTCTAAATAAGTCCATATTATGAAAATTGAATTTTGCAATATAAAAACTGAATATATGATTCCATGGAGATGAATCCCTAATGGCAAATTGAGTACTTTGCCAAAGAATGGGTTAATATAACCATACCATAAATAGATACCAATAGTGCTGGAATATTCTTCCTAACTTCATTCAACAAATACTTAACTAAATCCTAGTATGATAGGTATACTGATATCCTTTTTCTTTTATATTTCGGTTGTCCTCCAAGTCACAGGAATTTTTCTCAAATCTGGGAATTCCCTTCATCTATACTTCTAGCCTTAAACTGTTTGCTCCTCAACTTTTGGTATTTGTATATTAGAATTTGCTAAAGAACTATAACATAATGTAACATTTCATTAATGGAATTACCATGTAACAAGATGTCTCTGCCTTTCAAATTCCCAATTTAAGCAATATTAAATTAATTAAATTCACTTCATCAATTTGGTAATATAAATATTTGCATATAAAGTTTATTTATAATAAAATATTCTTGCATAAATTTAGGTTATAAATGACTAGGAAGAGAGTCCATGTAGTAAACTAAAACATCTTTTAGAAATGATTATTTCATGTTGTACTGGTTAAGAAGTTCACAAGTTTAGCTCTTCATAATTGCAAAATATTGTATTTGTTCTGGTCATTACAGGTCAAAACTACTGTGCCATCTTCTCTTTCTTCCTAATAACATGTCTCTGCCACCCCATTAGCCAGTCAGGGGATGAATAAATGGCAGAAACTTAATCCCTCATAAATCATTAAAATGCTCACATCCAGATTAATGCAAATGAGGAAAAATAAATCAGTATACTAAGTTTTATTATTTGAATGTGTCCCCCAAAATTCATGTGTTCCAAATTTAACATCCAATGGAACAGTGTTCAGAAGTGGGACCTTTAAGAGGTGATTAGGTCATGAGGGCTCTAGTATTCTTTTTTTTTTCTTTTTCTTTCTTTCTTTTTTTTTTTGGAGAGGTTTTTGCTATAGGGTGTGTGCGCTTGCCAGAAAGACAGAGACAGAGAGATAGAAAGTGAAAAATCACCCCCCAGGAGGGATGGCCACGCAGCAATCCCTTCTCCTCCTTTCTCCTGTTAGGATCTTGGGTACGCATGCACATGCACCCAGCATGAGTTTCAGCCACCGAGTCCGGGACTCAAACCACAATCGACTACATGGGAGTCCAGCGACATAGCCATTATAGTAACTGCTGGTCCCGAGAGCTCTACTATTCTGCCTTATGACAGAAGTGGGTTAGTTATCATAGAAATTCATTCCTGATTTTTTTAAAAAAGGAGCAATTTTGCTTCTTTTTCTCTATCTCCTGTGCTCAGGTCTTTTTCTGCCTTCTACTGTGGGATGCTGCAGCATGAAGACCCTTGCCAGATATGAGTACCTTCCTCTTGAACTTCCCAACCCTAGAACTGTAAGTCAAATGAGCTTCTATTGTTTATCACTTACCCAGTCTCAGATATTATTATAATAGCATAAATAGACTAAGATATTGAGAACAGAGTAAAGATAATTGACTAGTTCCAGAACCACATTCCAGAGGCAGGAACACTCTGCATATAAAAACACATTGAAAATAATGTGTATAATCATTATATGATTTTTCATTGTATCCTCCCACCCTCATGCTTCAATTGAATAGGTAGGACCTGGTTTCTCCTTGAAAAAACTCTCAGACGAGGCAAAAAATAACCTCACAAATCCTTACAAGTACATACGTGGTGCTGAAGTTCAATGTTACCATTATTAATTTCATTGCCCATCTTCAAAAGCCATTGTTGAATCATGCTAAATATATTGGCTTGGAGTACCCTGAAGGAAAAAATAAAGTAAAATAAATATATGCAACTTGCTTAGAGTATAAAAGTAACTATCAGTTAAAAGAAAGGGTTTTATTTAGTTTGGAATAATAAGCTTAAGTGTCGATGACTCTTTGAGAACTCAGGGAAAGGTGAGCAAAAGCCCTGAAATATCTGGCACGATGGCTTACTCACTGACATAGCTTTCCAAACTTTTGATAGCAACTGACAGGATGCACTTCAGACAAGGTAGATCTTTCCCTCAATGGTTGTTCTCTACCATAAACTTACACACCCTTTACATTCACTTCTAGCCTAGTAGGTTCTTCTCATATACCAAAAGAATAAATGTTAAAATTCTCTCAGTGATCAACTACTAGTATGATGATGTAAAGAGCAAGGCTGGCCTACTCTGGTAAAATTGGTGGAATTTTTTTTTTTTTCAAATAAGCTACTTAGAGTCTCTAAAATGGTCCTAAGAACAAACAGAAACTGCAAAAACATCTATTCAAGAAAATGTAAGAACATTCAGTAAGACAGGCAAGAATATGGTATGTGAACCAAAACTGATTTCTGTCTTCCTCAGCTCAGTGAAACAGACACTTCAGTCTAGACTGCTGCAGCCAAGAACACAGGGTTCTCTCTTTCTCCAGTTCCCAGTTGGATGGCTTTCTTCCAGGAGGCACAGGATATCAGCTTCTTATCCAGCCCCTAGCTATCTGTTGCTGATTCTAGGTACTGAGCAATGCAGTCATGAGGTGTGGGGTCCCTTCATCCACCCAGCCACTACTTAACAGAATGGAGACTCCATCTTGGAGAATGCTGAGAATACTGGGGATCTGGAAGGTAGTGGTTCCACTCCAAGAAAGGCAATCCAAGTGTACCTCAGGCTGCTACCCTCCCCTCCAAAGAGTGCTTAGTCCCTACATGTGAGTGTCATTTAGAGAAGCCTGCCATTGTTCCCATCCTCAATTTCAGAACCCTGGCTCGGAAATTTTGCCTAGGAGGAGAAGCTGAGAAAATAGATAGCTCCTAATCTCATCTCAAATGAACTAACTTCGCTGCAACAGAGCCTAGAGAAGTTCAAGTCTAAGGATGTTCTCAAGAACAGTGGAAGTTGGGACCAGTAGTTAGCATAATGGCTATGTCGATGAACTCCCATGTAGCCAACCACAGTTGGAGTCCCAGACCCAGTGGCTTAAACTCACGCCGGGCACGTGTGTGTGCGTGCCCAAGATCCCGAGAGGAGAATGGAGGAGAAGGGATTGTAGTGTGGCCATCCCCCCTGGGGGGGTGATTTCTTGCTTTCTATCTCTCTGTCTCTCTCTGTCTTTCTGGCGAATGCACACGCCCTCTAGCAAAAACCTCTCCAAAAAAAAAAAAAAAAAAGAAGAGTGGAAGTTCAGTGAAATGCAATTCAGTGGAGATTCAAGATAGAGGCTAAACTGTAGGCCAAGTAGTTTGCAGGAAACACCCAAAGAAAAAGACAGCTAGGAAGAGGTCCCTTGGGATCAAAACAAATATAAAATACTCATCCCAGGAATTATTCCTTCCAAGGATCCAGAATTACATGAGAGAAACATATGCCTCAGGGAATTGTTGAAAACAATACAGCAGGGGCCAGCAGGTGGCATGTGGTTAAGGGTGCTGGGCTCCCACATGGCCGACCACGGTTCAAATCCTGGACCTGGAGGTTTGCTTTCTCACCTTCCTTCTCTCTCCCTCTTGCTCTGTTCTTTGGTAAATTTAAAAAATAAATAAATGCATTTAAATAAAATGGTTCTTTTAAAAAATACATACAATTAAATAAACAGTTCTTCAGGGGAAAAAAAAGCAATAGAACAATCTAGTAGAAATTAGTGAAGCTTAAAAAATAGATATGGCGGGAACCAGCAGTTAGCGTAATGGCTATGTCGCTGGACTCCCACGTAGTCGACCGCGGTTCGTGTCCCGGACCCGGTGGCTTAAAACTGTGGTTGCTGGATCTGTGGATGTGGAACCCATAGATAATGGAAGGTCATCCGTATTATGAAAGGTCTGAAATAAATGACCTAACAGTCTGCCTTAAGTCTATGGGAAAAAAGAGTAAACTAAATATAAAGAAAGTGAAAGGAAGAGAGTAATAATTACTATAGTAGAAATTAAAACAATAGAGAACAAAAAAATAAAGAAAATCAATGACTTCAAAAGATAATTCTTTCAAAAGATAACAACATTAACAAGACTGACTGAGAAAAATAAAAGGCTCACATTACTAGGACTGAAAACAGGAGAGAGGACACTAGTATTGCCCTTTCAGAAATTAAAAGGATCATAAAGGAACACTACTGGGTTGTCAGGAAAGTCATGATGCATTTTTCCATAGAAAAACATGTCAGGATTTTCCCGGACACCTAATATTAGTAATTTTTCCAACAAATTAAATTACTTAAATTAAATACTAAGGAGACCAGCAGGTGGTATCGTGGTTAAGGTGCTGGACACTCCCACATGGCCGACCACAGCTCAAGTCCTGGATCTGGTGGCTTGCTTTCTCACTTTCCTTCTCTCTCTATGTCTATCTTCCTCTGGTAAAATAAAAATAAATAAAATTAAATAAATAATTCTTTTTTAAAAAATTGTCAAATTCCTAGAAAAACACACACACGAAAGTCCCCAAAACTAACTCAAGAAGAAGTAGAAAACATTAATGGGTCGATAACAAATGAAGAGATTAAATCAGTACTGTTACAGATCTACTTGCTATCTATTGTTTAAGATTTACCCATGTTGTCTATTTTTTTCTAGATTCTTTGTGCTAGAATTGTGTTGATTTCACCATTGACTCTTTTGAAGAGTCAAACATTAATTAATACTAATTCTTCACACAGTCTTTTTTTTCTTCTTTTTCTTCTTCTTTTTCTTTTAGAGAGGTTTGGCCTGAACGCTCACCAGAAAGACAGAGAGACAGAGAGACAGAAAGCAAGAAATCACCCCCAAGGGGAGATGGCCACACCGCAATCCCTTCTCCTCCATTCTCCTCTTGGGATCTTGAGCACGCACACACATGTGCCCGGCGTGAGTTTAAGCCACCGAGGCCAGGACTCAAACCGTGATCAACTACATGGGAGTCCAGCGACATAGCCATTACATCAACTGCTGGTCCCCACATAAAGTCTTTCAAAAAATAGAGGAGGAGGAAATATTTCCCAGTTCATCTCATGAGGCCAGTATCACCCCAATATAAGATCAGACAAAGACATAACAGAAAAGAATACTGTGTATGGATGCAAAATTCTTAACAAATGCTATTGTCAACAAATAATTTTCCATTTCTTGTTTCTTGAATATATATATATTTTTTTCTCCCCTATTTCTCACCCTTTGCCATTGCCCATCCTTCTCCCACACTGTCTCTGGTATCTCAGAAACTGAGGATGATACAAATAAATGGAAAGATATCCTGGTCTTAATAAAATGGAAAAAATAATTATTATTAAAATATCCATATTGGGGCCAGTAGGTGGCGTAGTAGCTGGGGTGCTAAACTTCCACATGACCTACTGCTGTTCAAGACCTAGGCCCAGTAGCTTGAAAACTACACCAGGTGCATGTGTGTGTGTGTGTGCCCAGAGTCCCAAGGGGAGAGTGGAAGAGAAGGGGCTGCAGTGTGGCCATTACCCCTAGGGGGTGATTTCTCACTTTCTATCTCTGTCCAGTGAGTGCATGTACCCAATGGCAAATCCAATGCAATGCCAATTAAAATGCCAATGTAGGGGCCAGCAAGCATCATAGTGGTTAAGGAGTTGGTAGCCACATGGCTAACCATGGTTCAATTTCCAGACCCGGCAGCTTGAGACTCATACCAGGTACATGTGTACATGCCTAAAATTCCAGAAGAAGAGTGGAGGAGAAGGGACTGTGGCATGGTCATCCCCCTGGGGGATGATTTCTTGCTTTCTTTTTCGCTCTGTGTCTCTATGGCAAATGCATGCAACCTATAGCAAAAATTTGTCTAAAACAAAACAAAACAAAACAAAACAAAATGCCAATGTAATTATTCATAGGAATAGAAAATAAAAATCTAAATTTACATGGAAATAACAAAATACCCTTAGTAGCCAAAATTATTTTGGCCAAAACAAACAAAGCTGGAGTCATCATACTATTGATTTCAAAATATATTATTACAATGTAGTAATCAAAACAGCATGGTACTGGCGTAAAAACAGACACACAGATCGATGGAATAGGAAATAAAGCCCAGAAACAAACCTACACATCAATAGCCAATTGATTTTTCATGAAGGTTTCAAGAACACACAAGCGGATAAGGATAGTCATTTCAATAAATGATGTTGAGGAAACTAGATATTCAAATACAGAAGACTGAAAATGAATTCTTATTTCACCCATTATACAAGAATCAACTCAAAATGGATTAAAGACTTAAATGTAAGATCTAAAACTATAAAACTCCTAAAAAAAATTGAGGGAGTGGGGATGGCCCTGTAGCCTAGTGATTTAAGGGAGCTGGATCCTACATGCTGACCCATGGTTCAAGTCTCACCTCAGCGGCTTGAAACACACACTGGACATGTATAGTGCATAACTCAAATCTCAGTGTGGAGAAGAGAAGATTGAAAGATGACTATGCTCCATTGGGAGGTGCTCTCTCCCCTCTCACCTTCTCTCTCTGCCTCTCTCTGGAGAGAGATATCTATGGAAATAAAAAAAAGAGAGAGAGAGAGAGAGAAAGAGAGAGAGAGAGGGAAAG